AAAGGCGTTGATAAGTTGTCTTCTTCCGGAGGTGGAGAGATCCAGGTGAAGGCGGTGGTGACGATCAGGAAGAAGATGAAGGAGAAGATCACGGAGAAGATTGAGGATCAGTGGGAGTTCTTCATCAATGGGATTGGACAGGGAATTCTCATTCAGCTGGTCAGCGAGCAAGTTGATCCTGGTAATTAGTTGAAGTATTTTCTTAATCATAACTTTTTAAAGATTTTAACTTTATTGCTTTTTTTTTTAATTCACTTTAATTAGTTTAGTATTCTCTTAATTTCAACTAATTAATTATATTATAACTATTTTCTTCCTTTTAATTCACTTTTTCTGTTCTTTAATGGGTAGGGAGTAATTTTGTGTTCTTTTGCCTGTTTAAGGAGTTCTTTTTCGTTGCAGACAAATCACTATTTCGCATTTGTGCATAAACTTTTTTATTTTTGATGATTTTAACGACTTATTTTGCACTTGTGTCAGACTGTGATTTGTAGAATCGAGCAAGACGAAGCACTGTTCCAACTTAAGACCACATTCATAGAGTTATGAATGATCTATAGGGTTTCGTTTATTTTCCTACCATGAATTAATATCTTGTTATCATTGTATGATTTAATTTGTCCAATTTCTGTTTTATTTTTACACTTTTGTAGCGCCAAAAAGTCTGTTTTGGCTTTGTGTTTCCTAATTTGGGGCAGTTTGATTGATCTTTGTTACTTGTTTTCACAGTTACAAATTCAGGAAAGATCGTCCAGTCTGCCGTGAGAGGGTGGCTGCCAAAGCCGGTGCCTTCGGAGTACGCACACATTGTTGAATATGCTGCTGACTTCACTGTCCCATCCGACTTTGGCTGTCCTGGGGCAATTATGGTTACCAATCTTCAGGGCAAAGAGTTCTACTTGTTGGAGATTGTCATTCATGGTTTCGACGGAGGCCCCATTTTCTTCCCTGCCAACACTTGGATCCATTCACGCAAAGATAATCTGGAAAGTAGAATTATCTTCAAAAATCAAGTATGAATCGTTGCTTGTGTATATTTATTTTTCCTGAAGTAAATATTGCATGAATGATCTTGCAAGAGGTATGCTTTACATTATCTTGTTGTTGTAAACAGGCATGTCTGCCTGGACAGACACCACCGGGCCTTAAAGATCTTCGACGTGAAGACTTACTCAGCATTCGGGGTGATGGGAAAGGTAGGAGAAAGGAACATGATAGAATCTATGATTATGATGTTTACAATGATTTGGGAAATCCTGATAAGAGTAAAGATCTGGCTAGGCCGGTCATTGGTGGCGAGGAGAGGCCTTACCCTAGGCGTTGTAGGACCGGCCGGCCTCCAACCAAGACAGGTGTGTATGATGATCTCTCTTTGTATTTATTAGTGAAGTCTAGTTCTCTGTTTACATTCACTCTGTAGTATTGACGTCTAATCGCTGATTTGATGGCATTCAAACAGATCCTCTAACGGAGAGCAGAATTGAAAAGCCCCATCCAGTTTATGTACCTCGGGATGAGGCTTTCGAGGAAATTAAGCAGAATACTTTCTCCACTGGAAGATTGAAAGCTCTGCTTCACAATCTTATACCATCTCTTGCTGCTACATTGTCAAGTACAGACAATCCTTTCGAGTGCTTCTCTGATATAGATGACCTATATAGTGACGGTGTCCTCATGAGAGAGAAAGACGAGGAGAAGAAAGAAGGCAAGAAACTGTTTCTGGGCAGCATGGTGAAAGAGGTTCTTTCCGTTGGAGAAAGATGGTTGAAATACGAAATCCCCGCTGTTATAAAAAGTAAGTGCACTTTTTCTCCTTCTATCCTTATTCTTTTCCCTTGTTTTGTAAGATTTGAAGCTCCTACTACTCCATTAGATTACAATAACTTTGTCGAGACTCTGAGGCATCAGTTTAATTTCGTCTTTAATCTCACTTCTTTCTCCTGCTGTTTAATTTGTGGTTAGTGGATAGATTTGCTTGGTTGCGTGATAATGAATTTGCACGCCAAACTTTAGCTGGGGTCAATCCAGTCAACATTGAGATTTTGAAGGTAATATACAAACAAATCCTTTGTAAACTACTATGTCCTTTCAAATCAAATGCCCATTTGAGAGTCCATAAGTTGGGTTCTATTTCACAGGAATTTCCGATTCTCAGCAAACTAGATCCTGCTGTTTACGGTCCTCCTGAATCTGCTATCACAAGGGAATTGTTAGAGCAAGAAATCAATGGGATGAGTGTAGATAAGGTAATAATGTCTGAATTCCAATTTTCCGATATATGATCTTTAGTTTGAACCAACATGAAGTGTAGAATTTTGCAACTAAGAAAAATGCAAATAGGATTTTATGTGAAGGCACCTCTAACAGTAACATTTTATCATACCAGGCAATTGAGGAGAAGAGACTATTTATACTTGATCACCATGACACGTATATGCCATTTATTGAGAGGATGAACGCCTTGCCTGGGAGAAAAGCTTATGCCTCTAGGACGGTGTTCTTCTATACCCCTGCTGGTATTGTGAGGCCTATAGCTATTGAGCTTTCACTTCCACCAACGGCTTTATCCCCGCAAAATAAACGTGTTTATACTCATGGGCATCATGCTACTACACATTGGATTTGGAAGCTAGCCAAAGCTCATGTTTGCTCAAACGATGCCGGCATCCATCAACTAGTCAATCACTGGTAAAACTGAATTCATTTCAATCTGGATGGTTTACATTGTCAGAGTTTTATCAATTAACAACTATTTTAGACTATGCTGTCAACACTTCTAATTTGTTTGGTAATTATTAGGTTGAGGACTCATGCTTCCGTTGAACCTTATATAATTGCGACTCATAGACAGCTTAGCTCAATGCACCCGATTTACAAGCTACTCCACCCACACATGCGCTACACTTTGGAAATTAACGCACTTGCACGACAAAGCTTAATAAATGGAGGGGGAATAATTGAGGCTTCTTTTAGTCCTGGAAAGTACGCCATGGATGTAAGCTCTGCAGCATACAAGGATATGTGGAGGTTTGACATGGAGGCATTACCAGCTGATCTTCTTCGAAGGTAATGTTTGAACAAGTGAATAGAGGCAGTATGCCGTGTATTATTTCCCAAATTAACGGAGTTATTATTTGACAATTGTGTGAACATTTTCCAGAGGCATGGCTGTGGAAGATCCTTCGGCTCCTTGTGGCGTGAAACTTGTAATTGAGGACTATCCTTACGCTGCAGATGGTCTCCTCGTATGGTCTGCTATAAAAGAATGGGTAGAATCCTATGTGGAACACTACTACTCTGAGCCAAATTCTGTCACATCTGACATTGAGCTCCAAGAGTGGTGGAGTGAGATCAAGAATAAGGGACACGAAGACAAGCGAAACGAGCCCTGGTGGCCTAAACTCAATACCAAAGAGGACTTATCCGGTGTACTAACAACGATAATTTGGGTCGCTTCAGGTCAACACGCAGCCATCAACTTTGGCCAGTACCCTTTTGGTGGTTATGTACCAAACCGCCCGGCCATTATGAGAAAACTCATTCCGCAAGAAGACGACCCTGATTACGAAATGTTTATTTCTAACCCGCAGCAAACTTTCCTTTCTTCCTTGGCAACGAAGCTTCAAGCCACCAAGATAATGGCCGTACAAGATACACTCTCAACTCACTCTCCTGATGAAGAGTACTTGGGTCAGGTGAACCCTCTGGAATCCCATTGGATCAACGATAATGAAGTTATGAAGATGTTCAATAGATTCTCTGATAGACTGAAGGAGATAGAACATACCATTAACCTACGAAACAAAGATAGCCGTCTTAAAAACAGAAGTGGAGCTGGCATTCCGCCATACGAATTGCTGCTTCCCACCTCAGGCCCTGGAGTTACTGGCCGCGGAATCCCCAACAGCATCTCTATCTGATAGCTGTACTCGGATCAATGCTTTGGTATGTTCTCTTTTGTTTCACTCTGTCCGAAGCCCGTATGCTCAAGCGATCGATTAGTATCTCAATCGATATACAGTGTTTATGCAATTTTAGCTTGTTATTAAACTAGTGACTGATCTGTGATCAGTGTAGTATTGTGTATGTGAAAACATCGCACATACTTTAGAATAATGAGCAATCTTTGCTTGGTGCTCAAGTAATTGTATGTACATGAATTCTAAACTAATGCTAGAAGAAAGAAACTGGAATTTATAACTTGGATAATGCAATAAGTCCTTCCTTAACACTTAACCTTGTGCATTCTTTGATAATTGCGTCAATCAATGATACACGTCGTATTTTCAATATACGGTGCACTTACAGTTGATGCAAAGCAAAAACAGAAGTCGTATTTAAGTAGGGCAGAAACTTGAGTGTAACCGGTGATATATTCTCATCAGTATAACACAATATATACACCGATATGATACGTACGAATCTCCCATTTAAAAAGGGTGTAAAGCAGACAAACCTGGTAGCCTTTGTACTAGATCAAATCCTTTTCCGATCAACGAAAGCAGAAAACCTTCATTGTAACCATCCTACCGAGTCTATTTGTATTGTGGCATTTGCTCATTCCTCATCAAGTGAAATCGAAAATAAATGTCTCTTCCTGATCAATTGACTTAATCAATTGACTTAACGAACGTTTGTGGCATTGAATCTGATGAACTTACTTAACCGACATCTGCAACACCGTGTCTTAAAATGGCAACCGAATGCCACTCTCACAGTTGATTTCGTACATTTTCGCCAACATATGACATCAGCTTTCCAGTAGATCCTTCCACTTGGGTTTCCTCCAGGCCAACCGTAGCAAATACTGGGGCCCACTGTCAGCAAATACTGGGGCCCGTTGTCTCCGTCATCCATTACACAACCCCCAGAAAACGACAACTACCTATAATGATCCAACGGCTGGAACTCATTAACGAGTTTACGATTCAAAGCTGCACCAAACAATTTCTTTTTGTTCACGTTTGCTATATTTAAAAATAAAATATTACCGGCTTTTCTGGTCGATTAGCAGATGCTTCCTGAACAAAAATTTACCAAATAAGAATAAAAGTGACTTAAGATTGATGTCCTGGGTTTGATCAGATTCTCAGTAACTAAGTTCCTAATCCAAAAAAGCTTCCAACTTTCCTACTTTTACCACCTTAATCTCGATTGGGTAGTCACCATTTTAGCTCCAAAGTCCACACCCATCAAAATCTCAGCTTTAAGCTCCCTAACCCATCCATGGCGGACCCTCATATAAAAACAGATGAGCCACCTTCCCAGCTTACCCTTCTTCTCGATTCAAATCACAACAACCGCCACCAAGCACCAGAAGGAGAATACAAAGACACCCAATTGGACCAAACCCTCCAACGGCTAGAAACGTTTCTCACTCTATTGGGCTTCGATCAATCCTCTTGGTTCAGCCTTGCGCTGTCCTGGACTGCTCTGGCTTTTCTCGGTGTGGTGCTTCCGGTGGTCGTGCTCGAGATGTTCAACTGCTCGGACTGCGAGAAGTATCAGGTAAAAGGGTTCGAGCTCGTTATCGTGGGCTCGCAGGCGGTTCTGGCGGCGGTCTCTTTGCTCTGCATCTCTCATTGTCTTCGCAAGTATGGCATTCGGAGGTTCCTCTTTGTCGATCGCTATAGTGGCCGTATGGTTCGGTTTCGAAACGATTACATCAGGCAGATTAAGGTATGATTATAGTTTGAAATGGTTTTACTTGCGAAGACCTTAAATATTGGAAGAACTTAAATATTAGGTTTATCATATATCGATTTCAAATTTGATGATATGAGGATTTTCATAGTTGCGAAAATTCTCCGGTGTATGGCATGCATCGATGAAAGAAAGGTTAGATGTGCGGCCAAGAATCCAAACAGCCAAAGATCCCGGCGTTACTAACTTACTATTGACTGATGCATACTAGAAAATCCTAGTAGTTGTGTGAACGAGTTAATCCAAATTTATGTCTTGAATGCGAGTTAAAGGTGTCCCCTTTGGTCTGATTTTAAATTCGTGATTATAAATATTATCTATTCAAATCTGTCATGCGTCTGTCTACTAACCAGTAGGATTAGATGGTATGCACATAAAGTGCTTACCAAATTCAGCATGTTTTGTTTCCACTTCAGACCTGCAGGTGAAAACATAATCGAAATCTTCCATCTTTGCATTTGTTTACCAATATTGATAGGCATAGCACACACTAGCTGCAGCCAGCAAATATCGGGAAGACTTAACCGTGTTATCTGTTTATTTTAACTTGTATAGACAATTTTGGCCTGAAGTTTCCAGTGCTTATTGTGCTTAGAACTTTCCTTGGGTATCATATCTTAACAGGGTTCTTTACGCCTGCTCATTTGGTGGGCGCTGCCGTGTTTCCTTTTGAAGACTCTGCGTGAGGTCATCCGCATGATATATGTCCATCAGTCATGGTGGCTGTCATTTGCTGTATTACTAGCTTTGGTTCTGTCATGGGCTTATGTGAGTACAATCACTCTAACAGCCAGCATTTTATTTCACTTGATCTGCAACTTGCAAGTTATCCACTTCGATGATTATGGAAGGCTCTTGGAAAGGGATTCTAATGTGTTGCTATTTATGGAGGAGCATATTCGTCTGCGGTATCATCTTCATAAAATAAGCCACAGGTTCCGGATCTTCCTTCTTCTGCAGTTTATAATCGTCACCACGAGCCAGTTTGTGACTCTATTTGAGTCACAATATACAGTGGAAAAATCACTGTCATAAATGGCGGCGATTTTGCAGTAAGTTCAATGATTTTTGTGAATCTAATTCTCCGTTGATTAACTTCTCACTCTTATAGGATTCGATTCAAAACCATAATGGATTCCCCCATTTAACACTGGACCTCTCTGAAAACTCTCTAATCATCATTGATTGCAGACTAAATTTAATGCATTAAATTTCCTTCCTCCTTTTCCATCAAATTTTCAGGTCTCCACAATTGTTCAGGTTGTCGGCATTATTCTTTCCTTGCACGCAGCTACTAAAATTTCTGGTAGAGCCCAAGGTATAGCGACAGTTGCCAGTAGATGGCATGCGTTAATGACATGCAGTTCTAATGATTCACCGCATAACAGAAGTTCAGACAGTTTGGTGAACTTTGAGGCTGCCAACAGATTGAGCTCACTGCATTCAAGTTACTCTGAGAGTGATTTGGAGTCGGCGGATTATGTTCATGTGCCTACAAATTCCCAGCTGGCTTCACATATGGCTTCATACCACAAGAGACAAGCTTTTGGTATGCATCAGCTTATGCTGTTTCAGTTCTTCCCGTTTGTATCAAACCTTAAATTTCAAGCATTCTGTTTACCATTTTTGTGTTTGAAAAGAAGGCGCTTTGGTCGACATTTATGGTTTTCGTTTGTTCATTTCCATGGTTCAGTTTGACTGGTTGTTGATTGTGGCTCATACTCTATCCCTTTCTGCAATGCAGTGTTATACTTGCAAACCAATCATGGGGGCATAACAATTTTCGGATGGATGGTTGATAGAGGCCTCCTCACCACGATATTTTTCATCGAACTGTCTTTGATTACCTTTGTTCTTGGACAGACAATAGTTTTTTCGGCTGCTTGATGCATTGATCCATCCTGGCTTGCACCTTCATCGCTTCGACCGTTTGCTTGGTTTTGTGAAGTGTACAAGAGTATGTGGAGGGGGGATAGTTTAGGCTTCTTTGGGTCCGGATAAGTACGCCATGTAGGTCAACTCTCGAGGCATTACGAGCTGATCTTATAAAGGTAAGGTTTTAACGGTGCATAGTCAGTGCAGCTGTGTCATTATTTCCAGAATTAATTGACTAGTTATTTGACACTTGTATTAACATTTTCAGAGGCATGGCTGTGGAAGTTCCTTTGATTCCTAGTGTAATTGAGGACCATCCATACGCTGTGGATGGTCGCTATAAAAGATGGGTAGAATCATACGCGGAACACTACTACTCTGAGTAATTCTGTAGCATCCGAGATTGAGCTCCAAGAGTGATGGAGTGAGATCATGAATAAGGGTTATGGCTGTTCAAGATACTCTCTCAACTCCCTCCCCTCATGCATAGTGAAATTTGGAAGTCCTTCAACAGATTCTCTGCTAGAGTAAAGAAGATACGGAAGACCATTGACCTAAGAAACAACGATAGCCGTCTTAAAAATAGAAGCGGAGCTGGCATTCCTCCATACGGTTGCTGCAGCCGTCGTCAGCCCCCCGGCTAACTTGGCATTGCAGTCTCCAGCAGCATTTATATTTGATGACTGTAGAGTTTAGCCGAATACGAATCAATGCTTTGGTATGTTCTCTTTTGTTTCACCATCTGAAAAGCTCGTACGCATGAGCTCATTAGTGTCTTAATCGATAAACAACATTTGTGCAATCTTGGTTTGTTTATTGAACAAGTAACGAAAAATCTGTAATAATTTGAAAAACATCGCACATACTTTGGCGTAATGAACAATCTTTGCTTGTTGCCAAAGCGATTAATCGTATTTACATTTGAGAGCTTGAAATCTAAACCAACACCAGAAGAAAGAAAGTGGAATTTATAACCTGGACGGTGCAAGTTTGATTAATTCCTTCCTCAACACTTTACCCTGTGCATTCTTTGGTATTGCCATGGTGAATGTTACGCGTCGTATCTTCTTATATGGCGCAACCTACAGTTGATGCAGTAGGGTAAAACTAAAATTGGTAAAACTGTAAAACTTCGTTTTTATGGTAGTTAGATGATGAAAATAGTCTGAGGTTTACCTGTTTGGCAATAAAATCCTTGATCTGTGATTCATCAATGGCACTTCCAAGGCACCTCACCACAAACGCCATCGGAACTTGACCTGCTTCCTCATCTGGGTACCTGTCAATCATTTTCCACCCACCCAAACACAAACTCGATGAGATGTTGACACGTGAAGCTTGAACTCAATCACTTTCAAACGACGGAGTAAGTTACTTACGGAATCACAGCTGCATCGACAATATCTGGGTGGGAGTGAAGCAGATCCTCCAACTCTGCCGGGGCAACCTGATGCAAACATAAGCAATCCCATTGAAGCGAAGAAGAAAACGAAAGTGTTTGGTTAAAGGGTGAGGTGCAGAGGTGGCAAACCTGGTAGCCTTTGTACTTGATCAATTCCTTGAGCCGATCGACGAAAAATAGAAAACCTTGGTTGTCAATGTAGCAAATGTCTCCGGTTTTTAACCATCCTTCCGAGTCCAAAATTGCGGCAGTTGCTGCTTCATCACCAACGTAACCTGCACTTATGAGCACCACCACCACCACCAATCAAAGCATGAACTAGTACTCTATTATCCAACTCCCCATTCTATTTGTAATTCACCGTCAATTGTCTCTTTCAACATTTATTTTGATAAGATTTCCGCATAAGCTAATGAGGGTAAGCCTTGGCGCAACGGAGAGGTTGCTCCTTTGTGAGCGAAATGTCACAAGTTCGAATCGTAATAAACAAACTCCTTGCAAAGCAAGGTAAAAGGCTACGACGTTTTCCCGTCGGGTGATTCAGAATGAACGTCGTGTCCAAATAAAATACATGCGTGAATATCAACGTTACCTTTCATAATGTTGGGTCCTCTGACCCAAAGTTCCCCATGCATCAAAGGAGGCAGCGCAGTGCCACTCTCAGGATCCACAATCTTGGCCTCAAGATCTGACATCAGCTTTCCATTGGCTCCTTCAACCCCAGTTTCTTCCGGACCCACCGCGGCAAACACTCGGGCCGTCGTCTCCGTCATCCCGTATGCCTGCACAGCCCGCCAGATGGCTAAAAACATTAAACGTCGTCGTTAAATCCTTAAGCTCATCGAAAACATACACATCAGTCACTGACAACACACACACTCTAACCTTACCTGAGAGACTTGTACGTTGGGCAGCCGTTCCCTCAGTTTCTCGATCACGCTCTTAGCCAGCGGAGCGCCGCCGCAGGCGATCACTTGCAGCGAACTCAAATCGTAGCCGCCCATCTCGTTTCCATCCCCATACTTCGTCAACGCCACGGCCACCGGTGGGGCCCAGGCCACGTGGGTGATTCCGAACCGCTCGATGGATCCTAACATCGCCTTCATATCGAACCTCGCCATCCACACCAGCGTGTCCCCCGTCGCCAAAGCCCTCAGGCAGTACGCGATCCCGTACACGTGGAAAAACGGTGCCGTACAGAGACACACAGCGTGTGGAGCCCGCGTTTCGAGCCGCGCTGCTGGCCAAATTGGATATCCAGTTCCTGTGAGTCAACTCCACGCCTTTGACCCTCCCGGTCGTCCCCGACGAGTAGAGAATCGTGGCTGTGTCCGATTGGCTCACGCTAATTTGGCTCCACTTGGTCGAACTCGGACACTTCAGCATCATGGACTCGAACTCGGACGAGTCGAGGAGGACGGTCCCGAGGCGGAGGGAGTTGGGGATTTTGTGAGCGGTGTCGGAGGTGGCGAATGCGACGGCGGGGTTGCAGAGACTGATTTGACGGGAAATTTCGGGATTGGAGCTGGCGGGGTTGGAAGGAGAGACGATGACCCCGAGGTAGAGGAGAGAGAGGTGGAGGATGGGGAGGTTGAGGGAGTTGGGGGAGAGAACGAAAGCGCATTGGCCGTGGGAGAGACCGAGCTGAGATTGGAGCGAGGCGGCGAGGTTTTGGACGCGAAGAATGAACTCGGGGTAGAGAATTTGGTGGCCGGTGGTGGCGTGGACTAGGGCGGGAGTAGAAGGCGGGGGAGGGGACTGGTGGAGGCGGGAAAGGATGTAGTGGGTGAGGGAAAGAGGCGTGGTTTGAAGAGGGAGTTGGGATTTGGGTCTGAGGCTGTGGAAAGTTTTGGTCTTTGAGCAAAACCCGCTCTTTGGATCGATGCTGCCGCCACCGTCGCCGCAGCTGCTCTTCTGTTCAGTGGCCATTTTTGTATCAGTCGTTTGAGGTTGAGGTTTCTGGATTTGAATTGGAAATGGAGGTATTAAACTTGGGTTTGGATTACTAAGTAGTAAGTAGTTAATTGCGTTTGTAAATTGTCCAATAACGCGTCACGTTTTATCTTTTACCGGCCTTTCCGCATCCGCTCATGCAAGAGCCATTTTTTCATCACGAGTGCTACCGTTTTAATTAATGATGTGTTATTTTCCTTGTTTTCTTATTTTTTAAGTGATTCGCACGTACTCACTCAAAAAAACAAAAAAACAAAAAAAAAGTGATTCACACGTACAGAAAGATACTACTTAAAGATGTGTTGTTTGTTTTAGTCATTTCTTTATTTCTTAAGTGATTATTCAATGACAAATCCAAGGGATCGTAATAAATTGGATAAATTACAAAAAACTATCTCAACTATTGGGTCGTTAACAATTTCATACATCATCTTTAAAAAGTTTCAATGTCATACATTTGTTTACGAATTTGTTGCATTGTTCTACCTTCGTTACGTTGTCTGTCAATTCCTTTTATGCTGGGTCCCACCCTCTCCACATATGAACTTCCACGTTGGCATCTGATACACGTGGATCATCTAAAAGGATGACACTTGTATATCATAAAAAATTTAAAATTAAAAAAAAAATTTAAATCAAAATTTTTAAAAAAACTTCCCTCGTGAATCATGCAATTCGAATTGAAGCGTAAAGCCCTAACCGTGCGATTCCCTTCCATTTCTTTCGTTCCAGTTCCCAAATCAAAGAACCCTAACCCTAATTTCATATCACCCACCCCAAATCGCGATCAATAGTTCATTGAGCGAAAACCCTTAGTTCGTGTTGTTGTCGCCTACCTTCCTTTTGTTCGTTTTTGTTGAAAACCATAAGTTCTTCTGGTTTTCAAAAGATTTGATAGTATTTCGAAGGATTTGAAATGGGCTGGAATGTGCGCAAGGATCCCAAGCAAACGACGCCTACCTACTGTAAGTACAAATTTCAGTTCATTTTGTGCTTTGTTGCATCCCCTTTTTCTAGGTTTGTTTATTCGAAAATCTTTGTTGGTGATTTGTGGGTTTCATTGATTGTTTAATCGAAATGCTTATGGATATGTTGTAGAATGAGGGTCATGTGGCTCATTTGTTTATTGTTGTCGAGAAAAAGATTGTTTGGGTGCTGGTGGTCCAGGGGTCCGGTGGGTGCTTCATGTATTTTTGTCGGGGCCTCGGGGAAAAGGTAGTTTGGGTGGTGGTGGTCCTGGGGGTCCTTTGTATAATTGTTCAACAAAAGTTGAAATTTGGGTGCTTTCTTTTGTTTTTTTTATTCAAATGTTGGATAATGGAAGGTCCTTTAGGTGTTTTGTTTGTTGGAGATTGGTGGGTCGTTTTCAAATTTATTCAAAATGCTAACTGATTTGTTGGATAATGGGGTCCTTTTGGGTCCTTTTGTGCTTTTATCTGTGATGTGCTTTGTGCTTTGCTTTGTTGTTGGTTGTTGAATTGCAATTGTTTACATTTGGGGTGGGTGTGGTCCTAAGGTTTGTTGCCTGCACTAACTAAGGTCATTTTGGTGTTTTTTTGTTGGTGAAGAAGATGTAGTGTTTTCTGTGTTTAGGGTTTAAGGTTTAGGGTTTACAGCTTAGGGGTTAGGGCTTAGGGGTTAGGGGTAAGGCCTTAAGGGATAGAGGTTTAGGGCTTAGGCCTTAGGGCTTGGGGGTTACGGGTTAGGCCTAAGGGCTTAGAGGTTAAGCTTTAGGGCTTGAGGGTTAGGGGTTAGGCCTTAAGGCTTAGGGGTTAGGCCTTAAGGCTTAGGGGTTGGGGTTAGGCCTTAGGTAGGGCTTAGGGCTTGGGGGTTAGGACTTAGGCCTTAAGGGTTAGAGGTTAGGCCTTAGGGCTTTGGGGTTAGGCCTTAGGGCTTAGGGGTTAGGGGTTAGGCCTTAAGGCTTCGGGGTTAGGGGTTAGGCTTTAGGACTTGGGTGTTAGGGGTTTGGCTTTAAGGCTTAGGGCATTTCTCTGTGATGTGCATTGTGCTTTGCTTTGTCTACATTTATGGTGGGTTGTGGTCTTAGGGTTTTAACTGTTTTTTTTTTTTTTTTTTGTGAATTTCAGGTTATCCAAAACTATTTTTGATTCGTTTGCACCATGGTGGGGAGCTCGGTCATGAATACTACTGTGGGGGGAAAGTTGCATATATAGATTATTGCGACAAGGATTTAATGTCACTCCCTGTGATAAATGATATGGTGGAAGCTATAGGATATAATGAGATGTTCATGAACTATTACTACAAGATTCCCAACATGGACTTTAGTAATGGTTTGAAGCCCATTCAGAGTGATGCCGATGTACAAAAGATGTGTAACTTTGTTCCAAAGGCTCGAGTGTTAAACATGTACATTGAAGAATTGTTTGCATAAGAAGCCTTTACCAAGGAACAACAATTTATGGAGTATACGAAGTGCACCGGTC